GGAGCATGATTGAGCCAATAGTGACAGACACCACCGCTATTATAATTGTTCGTGAGTGGTCGTTATCTTCTCTTGAGTAAATTAAATGGGTGTGTACATTCCACAGACAAGAAATGGAGAAGATTTGTGAGCACAAAATTGAGAGCAAATTAAGAATATCAATTTGCATTTAGTTAACTATATCTCTGTAAGAAAAATGATTAGATCACAATTACTTTACCTGGATTTCCTGGGGGACCTGTATCATCTGGGGGATACGCAGGTGGCACCGAAACAACATTTTTACTGTCATTATAAAATATGTACGATTCAAACCTCAAGTTGCAGCTAGGATTCATGACCTGTCTGTTAGAACAAAGCCCAAGTCTGAAAATAACGTGTCTAAGGCCCATTTAGTTTAGCCCACTGTGATTGTATAGTTGTTCTAGATTTTTTTTGTTTAGGGCTACGTGTCCCATCTTTCTTGTATCACTAGAGTCTATATATTCAGCACTGTACAAATCATATCCATGGCAATACAATACTTTTTCTCTTAGCTTAAGGTCTCTATACTGCTTTATGGTATCAGAGCCTTGAATTCTCTCATGGCGGAAACGCCTTCAAATGAATCTACAGTGGGATCAAATCCACATCCCTCTTCTTCTCATTTCATTTCAATAAAATTAAACAATGACAATTACTGCATTTGGAAAGCCTAGATGATCCCGTATCTCTATGGGCAAAATCTTTTCTCTCATCTTGAAGAATCTTCATCTCCTCCCTCTATTCTACTGTCTGATGGTAAACCTAATCCAGAATACACAAAATGGTTTCAACGGGATCAATTTGTTCTTTCAGTTATTATCTCTTCCTTATCCGAATCCTTAATCGGTCAGGTGATCAAAAACAAGACTGCCCGTTTCATGTAGGTTGCTCTTGAGAAAACTTTCACCTAGAAATCTCAAGCTAGACTCCTACATTTGCATAATCAGCTCACTAATTTGAAGAAAGGCTCTGAAACAATTTTTGAATATTACAAAAAGGCGATACTGATTTCTGAAGCATTAAGCACTGCTGGAAAAACTGTTGATGATGCTGATTTTATTACCTGTTTACTTAATGGTTTGGGTTCTGACTATGAGTCAATCGTTGCTTTACTCACCACCCGTGCTGATTCTTTGTCCTCAGAGGAGGTGTTGAGTTTCTTGTTAATTCATGAGGCTAGATTAAACAATGTCTACTCTTCATCTTCAACTGAAATTTTAGCCAATTCTACTGCAAAATCCACTCCTGAGCACTCTCAGTACACACCTCGTGGTCCGTATCAGTATCGTGGTAGAGGGAGATATGGTCGTTTTGGAAACAGAGGACAATTTGGAGGAAGGGGTAGACGAAGTTTTGCAGGACGGAATTTCTATGGTGGTAACAATGAATCTACATGCTTCATATGTGGACACACTGGTCATATAGCAACAAACTGTTATTACAATCAATCCTATCACACTCCTTCTCCAGTGTCTCTACCTCAAGCTCACTACTCTGCTTTTTCGTCTGCCCCCGATAATGCCTGGTATTTTGACACAGGAGCCACTAATCACATGACCCAGGATTTGTCTGATCTTAATCTTCATTCTGAGCCATACAAAGGTCAGGAGCAAGTTCACATTAGTGATGGTAATTCCATGTCTATTGCTAATCAAGGTGCAGGTACCTATTCCATGCTTAATAACAACTTCCATTTATCTAATCTTTTACATATACCCACAATTTCAAAAAACCTCTTCTCTGTTGCTCGATTCTATCTTGATAACTCTGTTTATTTCAAGTTTTACTCATCTCATTTTTTTATGAAGGACCTTCATTCAAAAAAAGTTCTACTACAAGGCCCAACTGAAAATTTCCTCTATCCTGCTCCAACACGGACACCTGAAGCCAGCTTTGGAGTCAAAACATCTGTTGATCAGTGGCATGCCAGACTTGGTCATCCAGCTTATAGGATTGTACGCAGGGTGCTCTCCCAGCATTCTCTTCCTAGTTTTCCCTCTCAATCTGTGTCCTATTCTTCCTGTAATAAAGCAAAGAGTCATGTTCTTCCCCTCCCCTCTTCACCACATCGTTCCCCTCATCCCCTCTTTCTTGTATTCAGTGATGTCTGGGGCCCAGCCCCTGTCTTATCTTTGAATGGTTTTTGGTATTACGTTTCTTTTGTTGATGATTTCACACAGTTTACTTGGTTGTATCCCATCAAAGCAAAATCTGATGTTACTAAGGTATTTTTAAATTTTCAAAAGCAAGTTGAGAATCTGTTCAATACTAAAATCAAATTCTTACAAACAGACGGGGGTGGAGAATTTCAAGCTCTTCACTTTGTTCTTCAATCCTCTGGCATAATTCATCGAATTACTTGTCCTTATTCTCATGCTCAAAATGGATCAGTTGAACGCAAACACAGGCATATTGTTGAATCTGGTCTTGCTCTTTTAAATCATGCTTCTCTGCCTCCCAAATTCTAGGCTCATGCCTTCTCCTCTGCTGTCTATCTTATAAATCGATTACCATCCGCTTCTCTTAAGCACCGGTCCCCTTATCAACTCTTGTTTAATCACTATCCTGATTATTCCTTTTTAAAAGTCTTCGGTTGTGCTTGCTGGCCTCATCTCCGTGCATACACTTGTAATAAGCTGGAACCAAGGTCTCAACTCTGCATTTTCATTGGGTATGCCACTGCTCATCATGGGTACTTATGTTTTGAGCCCAAATCTGGCAAGGTCTTGATTTCACGAGATGTAATTTTTCAAGAAACTGATTTTCCAGGTGTCTAGTTCTTTCCTTCCAATTCGGCCCAGCCCAACTCCACACCTCCTACCTTTACCTCTTTGCCTAATCTCTCCACTAACCTAAGGCCCAACCCAATTAATCATTCTCCTTCTGATTCTCCAAGAGCCCAACCCATTCCTCCTTTACCTCAACCCGACAGTCCGATCCCTCCACCCGATAACTCCTCTGCAATATCTGATCCAGAGCATCTATCTCTCCCTCTCACATTGTCACCTTTTTCGTCCTCACCGTCTCTTTCGTCATACCCTTCCCCTGTGCTAGTGTCCTCCTCTCCTTCTACCCGTATCATCACTAGGTCCCAGACTCACTCTCTCAAGCTGAAGCAGTACACTGATGAAACCATTCCCTGGCCACCTTCCAGAGCTCTTACATCGATGATTAGCACGCCTCCCGATGCACCCACCTCTGTCGCTGAAGCTCTACGCCATCCTGAGTGGCGTGTGGCCATGGCTGAAGAGCTTCGAGCTCTTCTTTCTAATCAAACATGGGTCTTGGTTCCTCCATCTCCATCCCAAAATGTTATCGGTTGTAAATGGGTGCTCCGAAAAAAATTCAAATATGATGGATCATTAGACAAGTATAAAGCTCGTCTGGTTGCAAAGGGATTTCATCAGGCTTCAGGTATTGATTTTCATGAAACTTTTTCTCCTGTGGTTAAGCCTGCTTCCATCCGTCTTCTTCTTTCACTTGCTGTTACTTTTGGATGGTGCATTCAACAAATTGATATTCAAAATGCCTTTTTACATGGGACCTTGGAAGAAGATGTTTTTATGACTCAACCTCTTGGCTTTCGAAATGCCCAATTCCCTGATTATGTCTGTAAGCTTCAGTGTTCTATTTATGGCCTTAAGCAGGCACCTTGAGCTTGGTTCTCTAAACTCAGCACATGTTTGATGAAATTGGGTTTTAATTCTTCTAAGGCCGACACCTCTTTATTCATCAAACGCACTTCGACCTTTGTGTTCTATATTCTGGTCTATGTTGATGATATCTTAGTTATTGGTTCTGACTCAGTTGCCGTCCAAGATCTCATTCATACTCTCAATTCATATTTTCCAGTTAAAGACTTGGGGCAATTGAGTTATTTTTTGGGTGTTGAATGTCACTTCTCCTCTGAAGGGTTATTTCTGTCTCAACGCAAGTATATCTCTGATCTATTACTTAAATCTGGTATGACCAATTGTAGTCCTGAAAATACCCCGATGTCTCCTAAAACGAAATTATCTGCCTACTCTGGTTCTCCCCTTACCAATCTTGAACTTTTTCGAAGTATAGTCGGTAGCTTACAATATTTGTCCTTCACAAGGCCTGATGTCTCTTATGCTGTCAATAAAGTTTGTCAATTTCTTCACAATCCACTGGATACTCATTGGTCGGCTGTAAAAAGAATTTTGCGCTATCTGTCAAAAACTATTGATTATGGGCTACTTATTCGAAAGACCTCTCTTACTTCTCTGGTTGCCTATACTGAAATTGAAGCTCCTAAACAATTACTAGCTTATTCTAATGCTGACTGGGGGGGAATATTGATGATAGAAGATCAACAGGTGGTTATTGTGTGTTCTTTGGTCCTAATTTGCTCTCGTGGAGCTCTAAAAAGCAACCAATTGTGGCAAGATCTTCCACTAAAGCTAAATATAAAGCTCTTGCACTTGCCACTTGTGACTTAATTTGGTTGCAGAATTTGTTGAAAGAACTTGGTGTTGCTCTTCCTAGTCCTCCCATTCTTTGTTGTGATAACATAGGGGCGACTTATTTGGCTGCCAATCCTGTTATGCATGCTAGATCCAAACATATTGAATTAGACTATCACTTTGTTCGTGAGAGAGTTGCTGCTAAGAATTTACAAATTTCAATTGTCTCTTCCAAAGATCAGGTTGCTGATATATTTACCAAACCTCTTGATGCACCAAGGTTTCAATTCCTTCGCGCAAGTCTCACTGTGACACAGCTGCCATTCGACTTGAGGGGGGCTGTTAGAACAAAGCCCAAGTCTGAAAATAACGTGTCTAAGGCCCATTTAGTTTAGCCCACTGTGATTGTATAGTTGTTCTAGATTTTTCTGTTTAGGGCTACGTGTCCCATCTTTCTTGTATCACCAGAGTCTATATATTCAGCACTGTACAAATCATATCCATGGCAATACAATACTTTTTCTCTTAGCTTAAGGTCTCTATACTGCTTTACTGTCCTCCTTTCTTTGCAGAACAACATGACATGATATTTTGCAAAGCACCTTGTAGACATTTTCTGCAGTCTTGGCTGGACAGGTTTGGAGTATATTGTGCAAGAGTATACAACGTTTTCAACTCTAAATCGTTGGATTTTGTGTTTGTCTCAAAATTTTTCACTCCTACACTCTCTGATGAGTTCGTCGTTGCCGCCACTAGATCATTCAATGTATTCCCTAACAGCCGATTGAAGGTCTTTGTTTCGTTGTCAAGCATATCCCCACCGGGTTTTGTATATACAGGCAGTGTGTCCAGGGTAGAGAAGAAAAAGCGATTGGAATAGCGGAGCATACACAAATCATACCATATGATAGCCTCCTTTGAACTGGGACACGAAAAGTTTAGTTGCTTGATTCCCTCATTGACGCATTCATGGCAGAGCTCAAGGGGCACATCTCCCCGACACATGAAGAGGCCGTTGATGGTGTCCGGCTTGTTTCCAACGCTGGTGCTGTAGAATCCTTTGTTTTTGGTGTCGTTGGATGCCTTGGAGAGTTGTTGAGTGAGATTTCTGAGGTTGTTTAGGTACTGATCGTCGGCTTCGGTGGTCGAGCAGTCGCTGCCTGTAAGATCAGGACGTCCAAGCCCTGTTTAACAACAGAAACAAATTGTTCAGGATTAAGTCATTGTTTTGGGTACAGAAAGGGGCCGAAGCCCAAAACATCAAATAAAAACCAAGACCAAAAGAAAACTCAAAAGCTCATCCCGCCTCCTTCCAGGTCCATTCCTGTTTGTCAACCTCAAAAGCTTCTGCTATTTCTGTAGGTATGTCTTCAAACACGCGTCGAGTCTCCCTCCAGTGAAAATGACCAAAATTAACTAAATAAATAAATTCGCAAAAATGTATCTCTCCTTTGACTTTAATCCTTAGTTTGTAAAACGCAAATCAGTAACAACAAGTCAAAGTTTGCGTGTATATAAATTTAATGCTCCTCTTATGCTTAATGTGAGATATAATTAACTAATTTTAATAGATTAAGAATATTGATTAAATTAATTAATATAATTTTTTTAAAACACTTTAAGTATCTTTTTTAATTTTTTCCCTCCCTCTCTTATTTAATTATTGCTGGGAGAATATCAACACAGTTGATTTGAAAAAAACTAATAAGATCTTATATATAAAAGCAATGTAACTCTTTAATTAGGTCCTATATTAGGGATTGAAATAGTACTAAGCAAACATATAATCAATCCCCCCCCCAAAAACACCAAATTATCGTGGGTAACAAATTATACAATTTTTATGAAATTTAAAATTGATTGCTTTAATGTTGGAATGTGACATTGAAAAGAACGCGTGACACGGCGACAGAAAAACCATGTGGGAAAGCTTTTCAATATCTTTCCGTGGAGTCTCAATGATAATAGTTACCATGCATTCCCTAAAAGAGAAAAGGAAAACCGTATTGATATTTATTCTTTTTTTTTATTTTTAATTTGGTATATATCTTTTTCTCTCTCAATTAAATCATTTAATTTTATTTTTTTTAGTAATATTAGCTCTTATAACTTTATTCTATTAGCATTTCTAGTTTTTATACAAGAGTTAATGAATAAAGCAAATTAAATTAAAGACTTAATTAAAAGAAAAAAACACATACATAATAAATTGAAAATTGAAAAACGTGAAGGGAATCTCTTTCTCCTCATCTTCTTCTCCTTGTTTTCTTTTATTGCCGTGCAAAGAAAAGGAAAGAAAGAAACTAGTGACATCACCTTCAGATGCAGTGGAGGGAGGCTGGTCACCCTTGTAATAAAATCGGTCTTCTCCGAATCTCAAATTCCAGCTCGGATTCTGAATTCTTCTTCTGCGTGTAGTATTTTCTTTCGGAAGAAGATTCATGATACCATATAGACACTTGCTACAGAATTGTTGGGACAGATTCAGCGTGCACTGTACAAGAGTGTACAGCGATCCCCCACTAAAGTTTGCTTCTTTTGCTGCAAATTTCTTGGCACCTGACGTCGCTGCCTCCACCACCGCATCATTCAACGTCTTATTTAATTCTGCGTATGCATCAGGGTTTGAATTGTTCCTTGTCGGCCTCAAGTCCTCCATCCTTGTTTGATTTCTGTCATATGGATGGGATGGAATCTGGCTGCATGGTGATGATGGGTTAAGAGTACAGCTGGTTATCGGGGCCACGGCCGCCAACGGGCTGCTAACTGTAGGCAGTTGATCGAGGGTGGAGAAGAAAGAACGATCGGAATAGCGGAGGGAGCACTGGTCGTACCAGATGACTGCCTCTTTGTTGTAGGGACATTCTGAGGCTATTCGATTTATGGCATCCTGAGCGCAATCTCGACAGACCTGAATGGGGACGTCACCTCGGCACATGAACTCGCCATATACGACGTCGGCATAGCTGGTGTTGAAAAATTCGGGAGTATCACCGCCGGCGGCCTTTTCATAAAAGATACCGAAGAGAGTGTTAAGGTTGAACTGGTAGGGGCTATTGGAAGTGAAGTTTTTATTGGTTGTGCAGTTGTGGTCAAAGTAAGCCGGGATGTCAACTTCAGAAGAAATCAGATCGAAGGAGGAGAGAAGCAGAAAATAGGATAGCAGTTTCAGAAATGGCATATCCATCTTCCTGCCCAATGCTTCGGCGTGCGTCCTCACGGCTTCTGCGAAATAAAGTGAAGCAAAGTTTTCACGCGGTTGGACCTCTAACGCCACAACCGCATCTTCCCATCTTCTTCCCTTCTCATTATTGTTACTATTATTTTCCTTTTGATTCTTAAGTTTTAAATGAAACGAGAAGTATTTTATATTGTTTATATATGATATTCCCCCCAAAAAAAAGAAGCCAATTTATGTTCTTTGTAAAATATTAAAATTACAAAACTAAAACATTCATGAGCAGTCATATATCATAATGTCTTTCATTTCACATGCAGAATAAAACTGATAATAAAAAGCAAAAGGGGTCAAAAAACAAAATTAGAAAGATAGAGCATTATTAGGGGTATTAAAGGCGCCGGCCATTAGAGGCCAATAACCCAACATTATTCACGGAAGAGGAATTTCCGTATGATTTTCATTTGCCAATGTGAAAAGGTTCACCATGCCAAGACTTTGCTTGAAAGAGCCTGCTGTACGTTTACACCCTTCGTATGAGTGTTTTTAGATCCAGAAAGACAAGAACCAAGATTTATGATTTACAAAACAAGAAGAGAGAGGGGGGAGGGGGGGAGAGAAAGAGAGAGAGAGAGCAGTTAAGATGCTGTGTTTTTACCGGTTTTAATTTCAAGCAATTATAGCATTTAGGATCATGAGCTTGCTCATGTAAGAAATCAGCACATTAGATGACAGTCCGAGTAAATCATATTCTTTACCCTCAATGGATGATTAGTTCTGCCATCTACCATTACTAATGGAAGAAGTGTTTTACAGTAATTGAAGAAGGGAGGGTAAGCGACGACCTTGTTGCAGCCATTGCTTACAAAGATAAGAAAAATGATATTGTCCACAAAAGTAAAGAGCAATAAGACGGTTTCTCACCACCCAAAAAGAAAAAAGAAAAAGATGGAAAAATCAATCACAAAAGCTTATTATAAGCAATTGAGAATGCGCACACACACACACACACTTGTATACAAGAAAACCAACATAGCCTCTTAATGGACATCAGAATAAAACAGGGGGCCGAAGAAAAAAAATCCAAATTTAAAATTATTAAACTGTTATTGTACTAGAATTTCATTCAAAGACTGCTAGGGAGAAATTTTCAGGTAAGGATAAAAAATTCAACATAAATTCTAGTGTTTTTTTGGCCATGTATAATATACTACCTCCAATTCTAATTAAAGATTTAGTTTATATTTTAATTTGCACTATAAACTAATTAGATTTTATAATTAGAACAGAAAGTAGTAGATTTTTTGCCCTCAAGTATCTATCTTAGATGTGCATAACTTTCTTGAATTATATGTTGGCAAAAAAATTCTTGAATTATAGGCTAAAAATTTTCAAAATGTATGAAATTGAATGGTTGATGATAACAAATGAAAACTCAACATGTATACATCGGTTTATTTATTTACATTTGTGTCATTTTAGACTTATTTTGGAAATTCAAATTATCACTAGTGGCTAAATCGACTGCTCCGTGGCAGCTGCGGAGATAATGAAAGGATTGACTTGCATGCCTCCTTGTCCTTGATTGTGATTGACTGACAGAAAAACGAAAGATCAAAATATATTTTTAACTCTTTAAGCTTTACATAAAATTTTATTTCAGTTCTTTAACTTTAAAAAGTATACTTTTAATTATTTAATCTTAAAATTATTAGTCTTAAATAATAATTTTTTATAATAATCATAATTATTTTAAATATTAAAATTAATATGTTAATATTTAGTAATATTTTATCGGTATTTAAGAATTTAATGTTATCATTTTTATTAATAATTTTAGGATTAAAGGACTAATATTTTACTTTTTAAAATTAAAAAATCAAAATAAAAATCTTTTATAAAGTTAAAAGACTAAATATATTTTAACCAAAACGAATTCCCATAAAACTCGGTATTTTGATCCAAACACTACAAACATAAAATAAATTTCCCAAATACGACACGTGGGAATTATTTAGATATATGCGACTTTTTTAGAAACTCGTTCAGCCTAAAATGAATTTTCACCCTGACACGTATTTTTTTAAATTAAAAAACGAACCTTCTTTCCATGTTTGGTAAAAATTACAATTAAATACCCTCTTTCGTATGCTTCTGCCGCACCTCTTACCTTTTCAATCTTAGAGAAAATTACAATTAATTCCCCATCCTCTCGTGTCTACCCCTTCCACCCCCCCCGATAAATTGCCTTTGGCAGTATGTCATTTTTTAGGTACATTCAAAATTTTGATCTTTTATATGATATATCCAGTAACCGTATATTATTTTTTTTCTAGTTACATTCAACATTCTAATTTTTGAAGTACTGAATGTGCTAAAAATAAGATTAAGATGCTAGATGTATATTTATTCTTTCCTTTATTCTGTATCTCTTTCTAAATAAAAATGATATGAGTAGATTTTGGATGTATTAAAAAATTTAAGTGCACAAAATCATGAAGAGGTAATTTAATTAATTAATTAATTTCCTATAAGTTAGAGATTTGGATATATTAGAGTTCAAAAAACATCTATAAATATTTTATATCTATTTAATTTATTTATTTCCTGTGCATTTGAGTATCAAGATAAAAATTAATTTTTGTATAAAATCTTCTCATATCATTTTTATTTAGAAAGAGATGTAAAATAAATAAAAGAGTAAAAATGTATCCAGCACTTTAAAAATTAGAATAATGGATTTAACTTAAAAAAATAATATTGGGATGTTGGATATATTATATAAAAGATCAAGATTTTGAATGTACCAAAAAAAAAAAAAGATAGCGCTGAATATGCCTTTATCCTGAAAAAAGTGGAAAGGTAGATATGAAAGGATGGGAAAATTAGTTGTAATTTTTTCGAAGATTAAAAGGTACGCTGCAGAAGCAAAAGAAATGGGGTATTTAATTGTAATTTTTACCAAAAATAAAGAGGAGAAGGTTGAACTCGTTCGCAGTCCCTTTTTTTATTGAAAAAAATAGGTGCCAGTGTGAAAAGTCATGTTAACCTGAATGAGTTTCTAAAAAATGCAGCATAGGTGTAAATAGTACCCACGGTGTAGTATTTGGAGAATTACTTTTATTGTTTATAGTATTGGGATAAAAATGCCCATAAAGCTCATTGGTATATTTTAATAAATTAGATTAGATTTTTCTTATGCCTCAACAAAAACTAACAATAAGAAAAGAACATTAACAACTTTTTTTTATAAAAATTTAATATATAAAGAAATATAAATGTATCAATTATATGTTTTATATAAAGGGAATTTAAACTATAAATAAATATTTGGGAAAATGAAAAGAAAAGAAGTTGAAAATTTGTAAATGCCAAATAAGGAATATCAACAAGAATTTGTTATCATTTGCAAATTCAGTGTTGTCAATACCAAATAAAGTGTTGTTACTAAACCCGATTTAAAATTTAGTAATTTTCAGCTTTTTTTAATCATCATCCCTAAATATTAATACTTTAATTTAATAAATAAGAAAATTAAACAAAATCATTTAATAATAGCAGTAATGTTTAAAAATATTTAAACATGTAAGATATAAGTAAGTAATTATATCATATACTAAGTATATTACCTTCGGTTCTAATTATAAGAGCTAGTTGACTAATTTGAGGAGATTAAGAAAGAAGTTGAGTTAGTTATTTTAATAAATAAGTACCGTTTTTCCTAAAATATCTTGCTAATCAAGTGTATTGGCTAGAACAACTATTGTTAGAAGGACTACTTTGAGAAAAAATACATAAATATGTGAGACAAAGTGGATTAGAGTCTTATATTTAGAACCAAATAAAAGTCAAACAAGGTCTTATATTAAGGACTAGAGGTATATATATCTATGTGTAGTTTAATGTTATACTAGGTTGAGCTTATTTTTGCATATTCACATAATTCGTATTTGTGAATTTGTTAAGTATTGGATCAGGCTAAAATCAGTTCAGAAACTTCGAAACATATAGTTGTTTATTTTCAATAGTTGGATTATGGATTCATTATGTAGTGCAATTGTTGGCACTGAATTTCATTAATCTGGATGCATGTTTACAGTACAATTCTCGTTTCAATTTCATGATTTGAGCATGTGGGAGATCTTGAGGGTATTTGAGCATCACAGATTTTGTTTCTACAATAATTGCTTCTGAGTTTTACTTTGAAATTTATATTTTTTTTCAGTTACAGGAATGATAAGATACAATGACATTTTAATTACTGGGCATATGAAGCTAAAGTATTGAGTAAATACATTAAAAATCTAAGGCTCTGTTTGATATGAGGGAAAATGAGAGGAGAGGAGGGGAGGTAAAATTTTAATAAGCTCGAGTTAAAAAATTAAAAAAAAAATGAGATTAAAAGCTTTTAATTAATTTTGATTGCTCTTCTATATTACTTTTTCTCTCTATTGCAAAACCCCACTTTTTCAATTTTTTAAGTAGAGCTCATTAAAAATTTTCTTTCCTTTTCCTTCTCTCCATTTCTCTCATACCAAACAGTAATTAAAGGAATAGATCCTTAAAGTAATTAAACAGTTAATTCAGAAACAAAATTTTAATTTTAATCATTTTTGAAAACTTAATTGTACTGATGCATCTTGTGTGATAGCGGAGAACGAATTTGCTGTCTCTAGAGAAAATCCGGCCACTACGGCAGCACGAGGCTTTTATTTCATCTTGTCGTTTGCCACCAAGACTCAATTTGGTACCTTATTAATTAGAGAACAGGTATTTTTATGTTATTCTACCAAAATAAGGAGATTCAACATATGGCAATCTTGATATTATTATTCAACTAGATGTGACTCCCGATGCGATGCACGGGACGAATTTGCTTCGATGTAGTTAATGATACCAATTCATTGCAATCTCTATCATCCCATAGCATAAATTAAACATAATTACAATCTATGTGTGTATAAATAGTAACAATTACAATCGTATAACTAAATTTCAACTTCTCAATT